ATTTTAGCTTGTTAAAAAGGGAATTAAGTAACACAAAGATATAATCTGAGAAGTAGGGTTGGTTGCGATCGGTTTGGTCGCAGAAAAACTTAGAGTGTAACATGTTCGAATTGGTATAAAACGTAAAGTTGGAAATTGGCTAAGTGAGTTTATGGGAACTCCTTAGTAACTTATAATAAGTAACGTAAGTGATAAAAATAGTTTAAATAAGTCTTCCGCAAGAGTTTATGGTTACGGTCACAGCTTTTAATTATTACGCCTTTTTATGTTTTAAATGCTCGCGTAATAATCGGAAAAAATTTATTCGCGTTTCATAAATGAACTGCTGTGATTGTAACTGCGCTTAATATCATAATTAATGTTAACAATACCGGTACGCTGGCGTGTTCACACTATTGCACGGTTTCGAAGGTACCTATTTTCGAATCGCGTTCGTTGAGTTGATAAATCTGGTGTCTCAAGAGCCTCTTCTGTTGAAGCCTTACGTGAGTGACATGGTTCTCGACGCGCTTCAGATCGCGGAGAGTGAGGGTTTGACCAATGAAACGCATCGTTTGGCGTTTGAGTTGGTTATGGCCATGACTGAGGTAAAAGAGTACGGTGAACACGTGTTGCTGAACCTTCCTTCTCAAACTGTGGTTAGGTTGTTCCTCGTTTCTATGAAAATGCTTCTGTGTATTGAAGAGGATGGTGGTGTTGGTGACCATGACCATGACCATGACTTTGGAATAAAGTGTTTGAAACAACTTTGTGTTACACTTGGAGGGAGTAAAGTATTGGCAATTGCTTCAGAACTGTTGCCTCTTTACTTGGATTCCAAGGAATGGAAGAAGCGCCATGCTGGAATTACACTGCTTACTGTGATCTCAAAAGAGTTCTCTGATGAAATGGTGACCTCATCATCTTAACAACTCTCTTTGCTTTGCTTTCATATATATTAATAACTTTTTGACTTAATTGCTGGTGAGGTTTACTACTTTCTCACACTGTCTAACCTTTGTTTATTAATTACATTTTTGGCAGGTATTGATGGAAAATTTTCTTGGGGAAGTGCTGACCAAAGTTTTGAATTCATTCCAAGACTCTCATGCTCAAGTTAGGTTGGCAGCTTTTAATTTTATGGAGACGCCTACAAACTTTGTCCATGTGGCGCAAACCCTTTATCATCCTAGGCTTCTGAATGCTTTTTCTATTGCACTTGACAATGATCAGGACTATAAAGTGAAGGTATTGTAGATATATAGATGTGAAATTGAATTTGAATTTACTTGCATCATGTTAAAGCTGATTATTATGATCTACAAACTTCCATAACCCATAGATAGTTGCTTCATTTCCCTGAAACATAAATACAGGAGAAACAACTCTGAAGTACATATAAACTCACTTTGCTAGTAGTCTAGGGGATTAATTCAGTTTTAGATTATTCACTTCATCCATTGCTTCATTTGAATGAATTTTGCTGCTAGTTTTTTTGGTATGCCACTCATGACTATATAAACAAAGGTATAATCCCTGGTGTATAGTTAAAAGGTACCTCCTCTTATTATGATCAAGATACATACCTCCTCTCAATCTCATGTTGAAATTTTTTAGCAATTTATCTTTTGATAGTTTTTCTTTGAAATGAACACTTGGGGTGGGATCGTTGGCAATGCTTGGAAGCATGAACAGTGTCTAGATATTTTACTCATCCTTCCATTCTTTATATTTTCACTATCACCGAGCAAGTCATTATTGTTATTATCATCAGCATGTGTGTCTTCTTTATCTTATTTTTCAAACATGTATTATAAGTTAATAATCTTGTGTTTCTTTTATAGGAAAAAGCTGCCTCAGCAATGCTATTCTTTCTAAGGAACACTCTTCCAGAGAGCTTAACTATGTTCAAGGACGTGGACACCGAAATGGGCAAATTGTTGTCATTGCTTCAGGTAAAAATTACAATCTTTTTTTATGCAGGAATTCAGTGTCTGTGGAAAAGTTCCCGGATAATATTTATTACTACCAATAAAGTAGGAATTATCTTTCTTACATTTTCCTTTAGAAATTTTCATCAAGGCTCATAATATTCTAGTTTCCACCATTGTGATATGCTTATTTGATGTTTTTCAGCCATCTGCTTGCAAAGAAGTGTTAAGCAAAGAAGAATTGCTTTGTCAACTTTCAACTTAGTTGCACAGCGGTGTCATGAAGTAGCTCACAAGTAGTCTTGGCGAGAGGATTTTGTTATTAGTAAATCACAATTATTTAGTTGTATTCACATGCCCTAGTTTGCATCATGGTACCATTTTCTTCTTTTTTGTCACCTTTTCCTACACCTCTTAACGTGCACATCTAGACAGACCAGAGGGAAATCATCTGTGTTTGCCCTCAGCAGTTTTTTAATTAAATATCTTTAACATCTCAAAAAAAAAAAACATTGAGGACAATGAAAAGCACTGTGCTGGAATCTCCATTAACTCTGGTCCACGACACGATCAACTGATTGAGCTTTTTTTTTTCTTTTTTTCGCCTCATGAGGTATATCAGAAACTGAGTCCTAGTCCCACTTACCGAAACTGCGACTTATATCACACGTTTTAATTGCTATTGGAAAAGCAGCACCCCTCATTATGTAATATATACACAATTATACATTATATATTGCTGCCACGTCCCACGAGATAATAACTATTTAAATGTCATGGTCTAAGTATCTACATAGCAGGGATTTATATGGCAATGCCTAATTAATGTCTCTTCAAAGTGATCCAAAGATATATAACTACCCTTGTACTGAATTATGGAACGCTTTAAACGCAACAACCAATTCCAACCTATAGGAATACCCAAGTAGGTATTTCCTTTTTCCAAACGTGGAAAAAATTTAAAGGTGGCCAGAAAAAAAATTTCAAAAATGAAAATAAAAATTTTTATATTTGAAAAAAAGGAGTACCCACCACCGTATCACTATGTATAGTTTTGTTCCCTTGTTATAAGGTTGCTCCCGGTCTGTGTCAGTCATGGCTGACATGCACAAGATCAAATAGCTGTCTCTCCGTCAATTGTGTGGGTCACCTTTTTTTCTCATCTGCTATACCTAATTTCCAATATTTCTTATTAGGATAAGTAGATGAAATGAAATCTAAAGGGTCCTTGCTTGCCATAAATTTATTATGGGGTCAAAGTTTAGCAAGGAAATTATTTGGTATTGGGAATTGGTCTATTATATATACGAAACCCTCAAACCCCTAATGATGACTAAAACAGGTTATAGGCATCGAATGAACTTACATGTTAACATTTGTATTTACAGCCCTTAAAAAGATAATATTAAGTGATATATTTGGATAATTGTTTCTTATGTTGTAAGAGATAATTTTATCTTCTATATACATAAAAGTGTATGAGGTCCATGTGAAGAGAAGTGAAAGAAAAAGATAAATGTTGAATGAGAAATATAAAACCCTTAATTGATATAATTAATAATTGTCTTTTCATTCTCTATTGTGAAAATTATTGAAAATGTTAGGATTCTAATTTCTGTAATTATGTCACGTCAAACGGCCTGGAATAAAAGTTAAAGAAAATAAGGTTATTTTGTAATATCAATTATCTATTGGATCAAAATCATTTTAGACAGTTACATTTCCAATCTTGCATCGTCGATCATATTTATATCTAACGATTCTGATTTATTATATATGTAAGTCATATATACAAAGCAAATCAATGGCTAAATTAAAATTAGGTATAATTTTTTTTATTCTAGTATAAGAATACCTGCCTTAAGCTATTTAATAAGAGTAATTTTGTTAATACGAATATATGATAGTCCATGACTATTTCATCAAACCCTTTTATTTTTATTGAATAGAGTGATATTCCAAACCAAATGTAACCATACTCCACGCACCTGAGGCAAAGAATTGACTCCAACACTTGTTTCTACTTTCTGGGATTCTAGCATGATCCATTATCAAATGGGCTAAAGGAACAACCTACAAAGGATATGACGTGGCAAGATTACTTGCTCTCTCTTTTTTTGGTAATAAATAAAAATTCTTTAGTTATAATAAATGTTAAATAAAATATTTTTATTATGTGGAATGCTTTTATCTTTCATTTTATTTTATTAATTTTTTCAAATTAATCAAAAAAGAGATCGATCTTAACACTTGTTTTTTTTTTTTAATAAAAAGTTGCATGTTTCTGATTTTTGTTTTTTTTAACATTATCCTCCGGTAATCTTATAGGTTCCCAACTAATTTGGAGTTCAAGACGGATTTAGAATTAGGATTTTAATCCCCTTTCAAAAATAATATTAAAAAAAATCTAACACATATTTGTATCCTCACTTGTTCAACTTTCATACGTCAATTATTGCATGCTTTTGATTTTGTTTGAACGAGCCCACTTTTGTCTAAATATTAGTAATAAAAACTAGTTTTTGGGACTTCTACCTACAGATCAGGATAATTGATTCTTGCCTCATCTATGACCAACAGTTTTATCAACGTAGGGGTATTAATTTGTCTCCAGCAACCTTATTTGAATCAATACAATACACTTATTTATTTAAATACGGGTATTAATTTGTCTCCAGGCTCCAGCAACCTTATTTGAATCAATACAATACACTTATTTATTTTCTCTCCATGTGCCGGGCGCAACGTCGTTTAACTTCTTGTTCTTTTTGTTAATATATACAGTAGCTTGTAATTAATTCAGTTAGTTAGAAGTCTGTTAGTTAGATGTTAGTTATTTCTGTTATTTACAGTTAAAGAGTCTTTGCTTCCGTGCTTTAGTTTGATTGCTGTTGTATATATATCAGCAATGTAACCTTGAGAATTCATTCAATACATTCAATCTTTTTCATCTTTTATCTAGTTTTCAATATGGTATCAGAGCTCATCTAGAGCTCTGGTATTCACCCTCTCTTGTTCCCAATTCTTCTCAAAAGATTTTCCTTCTTCTTCCTTTCGAAATTTTCTGTTTTCTTTTCATCAATCAAGAAAATGGAAGATGCAGCATCAGCACCAACTCAAAGAGCAGTACCAAACCAGAATACAACACCAGCACCAGAATCCAATCCCTATTACCTACATCCCAATGAAAGCCCATCGCTGGTCTTAGTATCTCCTTCAATGAATGGAAAGAACTTCCACACATGGCAAAGATCAATGCGTATGGCACTCCTATCCAAGAACAAGCTTGGTTTTGTTAATGGAACAATCAAGAAACCAGATGATGACAGTCCTCTATTTGGTTCATGGGAAAGGTGTAACACTATGATAATTTCTTGGCTCAATCGATCCATCTCAGAATCCATTGCACAATCAGTGCTTTGGATGGAGAAAGCAGATGATATATGGAACAACTTGAAAGACAGGTTTGCTCAAACTGATATGTTTAGAATTTCTGATCTTCAAGATGAAATTTTCAAATTGCAGCAAGGAGACAAATGTGTTTCAGATTACTTCACCCAATTAAAGATTTTATGGGATGAATTAGAAAGCTTACAGCCAATTTTACCATCTTGCGCATGTGGAGCAGCAACACAAGTAAAGGATACTCGTGAAAGGGACTATGTAATAAGATTCTTGAAAGGGTTAAATGACCAATTTGAACATGTGAGAGCTCAAGTAATGCTATTAGACCCTCTTCCATGTGTTAACAAAGTATTCTCATTGATTCTTCAGCAAGAAAGGCGCCTGAAAATAGGAGTCCAAGATTCACAATCTTTCATCAATATTGCTGAACAACAAAATTCCAGAGGACAACTAGACAGAGGACAGACTCGATATCATCCAAATTTCAATCAGAACTTCAACCAAGGTTTCAATCAAGGAAGAGGCCAAGGTTTTAATCAAGGAAGAGGCCAACCATACCATCGAAACATGCTATATCAAGCATGGATTTTCACCAGGATACCAAACCAGAAGACCATATGCTGCTGCTGCTGCTACAAACTTTGTTTCACTAGAAATTTGATGATAGTGTACAAAAGAACAACATCAAGAAATTCTGGAACTTCTACAAAGATCAAAGCTGCCTCACTCATCCAATATGATTCAAACCCACTCATCTGCTTTCAATATAGGTAACACAGTATCAGGTATAAAATCAAGAAACCAGATCATGACAGTCCTCTATTTGGTTCATGGAAAAGGTGTAACACTATGATAATTTCTTGGCTCAATCGATCCATCTCAGAATCCATTGCACAATCAGTGCTTTGGATGGAGAAAGCAGATGATATGGAACAACTTCAAAGACAGGTTTGCTCAAACTGATATGTTTAGAATTTCTGATCTTCAAGATGAAATTTTCAAATTGCAGCAAGGAGACAAATGTGTTTCAGATTACTTCACCCAATTAAATATTTTATGGGATGAATTAGAAAGCTTACAGCCAATTTTACCATCTTGCGCATGTGGAGCAGCAACACAAGTAAAGGATACTCGTGAAAGGGACTATGTAATAAGATTCTTGAAAGGGTTAAATTCAAGTAATGCTATTAGACCCTCTTCTATGTGTTAACAAAGTATTCTCATTGATTCTTCAGCAAGAAAGGTGTAACAGCCCGTTACGTACCGGTATTGTTAACATTAATTATGATATTAAGCGCAGTTACAATCACAGCAGTTCATTTATAAAAACGAGAATAAATTTTTTTCCGACTATTACGCGAGCATTTAAATCATAAAAAGGCGTAATAATTAAAAGCTGTGATCGTAACCGTAAACTCTTGCGGAAGACTTATTTAAACTGTTTTTATCACTTACGTTACTTATTATAAGTTACTAAGGAGTTCCCATAAACTCACTTAGCCAATTTCCAACTTTACGTTTTATACCAATTCGAACATGTTACACTCTAAGTTTTTCTGCGACCAAACCGATCGCAACCAACCCTACTTCTCAGATTATATCTTTGTGTTACTTAATTCCCTTTTTAACAAGCTAAAATACGCTCAATTCGGAGCTCATTTGCTCCGGTTATCGCCGTTTGAAGTTGGATAAGCGATTAGCCCAAACAACCCCAAAAACAGCTCCAAACCACTCACATTGCTCGAATTACTGCACTCAATCCACTCAACCATTTGCCCTAAAATTTTTATCCTACAAACTAGGCACCTCAAACTTCATTTTGATATATCACACGCTCAATTTGACCGAGAAACGAAGCGGGAATTAATTTCCCAAATCCGGTCCAGAATCTGCCTCAGGTGCAGGGGCACATGGGCAGTCCGTGTTTCTCTATTTTTTTCAGGCCGAAGATCAACCCAGATTTTCCTCAAATTTGGACACAAGGTAGAGGACATCTCAACCTTAAAAATGGCGTATGGCACGTCCCTAGGGGACTTCTATGGAGGGAGATATGCTCTCCCGAAGTTCGCCTAAAATCTGCCAATTCTACAGAAAATTCGCCAGAGTTTCCTTTGTTTTTCCAATAATCCCAAATTTGTAAAAGATCATTTAAACCTCAAATGTACCTAATAAACACATGATAATACAGTAATAATCCAATGGGTGGCACACACAAGGACCAACAACGCCTTGGGGCACTTACAACCCAATCCAGTTTATAGTTATTAAACATAGAGTCCATATTAATCATTCTTAAGTAGTTACAATCACTAACACCTTTTTCATGCATATTTCCATCATACATATTATCATAACCTAAAATAGGCCTAAGGCCCTTCCATCATAATTAGACATGCATCAATACTATTACAATATGGCTTTACAAATTACAACTTGAAACTAAAACTTCAAATTACATTCTTCTAAAATTTCAACTTAATTTAAAAGACAACATAACCAAATACATCACTACTAGACTTAGGAAAAATGGCATGAACAAGATGCTAATGAAGCTACTAATAAATACAAATGACATGTTCATGCCCTAAGTCTAGCCTAGGCCACACGGCCAACAAAATGCAAAATAAGAGACGCTCCATCGCTCACTCTGCGGGCCTCTTGCCCGAGGCTCCTGCTCCACTGCTACCTCCTGAAATAAATGCCCCGAGACGGGGTGAGATATACGAATATATCTCAGTAACCAAGAGGTTCTGGAGAAAACTCCACCTAATGGTTCACTTCGATGCATATCAATAGAATACAACAACCACTTTGAAAACGGGATATAGCAAGGGATTTAGAGAATGGGGAATATAAAGAAAACAAAATACGACGATACGGGATGGTAACCCCAATTCCACGTACGCCCTCGGCATATATAAGCCTATGGGTGTCATCCAAGGTGTGTTCACAGAAACCACAACCATGATGCCCAAACCAACCAAAACGCCAAAGACATTCCTAGTGTGCTCCTACCCGGATCACACACCATGACCGCAGTCAACTGGAACTCCCTCCTGGAGACCTATCCAGCGGAAGTCCGAAAATGCCCGAAGGCTAATAAAACTGTCTACTGGCCAGAGACTCGGTACTGCAGTACCCATAGCAATAATGCATGCATGCTCATGTGTTCTATACTATTCATACACACTTCCTACCGTTGCCATCAACTGGCAAGGTGGAACAGAAAAGGGGAACAAGCCCCAGTACCAAGAGGTTACCTGGAATATTGTTTCCACAAGCTCCGCAGCAGCTTATCCCTCAACTTGGTACACAGCAGAATGCCTACACAGAGGACATTCCTAATCACTCACAATTCAAACAATACATGCTACTTTACAATTACACATGCATTGAACCAATTACTTACCTCAATCCACTTGGTCCAAGACCGATGGCAACTCACTGAATCAAGATTCAGGATTCAAGTCAACGTACGACAACCTATACAATTACGTACATCCATCAGTACGCGTCAAATAGCATCAAAATGCAAAATCACAAAAATCCTCCCCATCCTCCCTTGATGGTTCGGCCATTGTAGTGTAAATTTGAGATTTATTTTTCTAAATTTTCTTTCTCGTTTTGTTACGTCTCATTAGGTTGTCAATAGGCCAGTTCAATGCCGGTTCGTCATTTTCGCGTCGAATTCCATCAAAACGCGAAAATCGCACAATCCCCCCTTTTTCCCTTGGAGGTTCGGCCATATAGGTGTTAATTGGGGATTTATTTTTCTAAATTTTCTTTCTCATTTTAGTACCCATCCTTGGGTTGCCATAAGGCCATTTCCACTGTCGTTTCGCCGTTTTACGTCTTTTAAGCATCGTTTCGCTAAATATTTCGCTCTAGGTTCATTTATGCCAACTAAACCACTTATTATTTTTCCATTGATTCTAACACTTTCCAATCACAACACAACCCATCTAAGCACTATATAACTACGCAAATCATCATCCAAATCATTTTTCATCATCAATTCACTCATTTTTCCTCAAAGGTTCGAATCTTGCCCTATGACATTCCAAAGAATTTCCATTCAATTTTAATCACTCCAACCTTCACACAACCTATTATATCATCATACCATCATGCCACAATTCATCAAACAAGTCTCAACACCAAAATTCACAAGTCCAAAATCATGATCATCAAATTTTTCTAAGTTAAATTCATCAATTTTCACCAATAAATTTCATCGCATTTCTAGCTTTAATACATCATTCTAACACATTATCATCTAATACACATTTTCAAATTGAGCTCTCTAACACAACACATCATCAAATCAAGCTTTAGGTTTCCAAAAATTCAATCACAATTAAACCATGTAAATGGGATGGAAACATACTCACAACAAAGGCTAGAAGCTAACCCAAGACTCCTCCAAGCAATGGAAGATCAAAAAGCTCCATGGACAACCATTTTTTATCCAAAATTTCGTGGCTGTAAATGGCCAATATCTCCCCAAATACACGGTTTCAAGGCTCAAGAGTGGTACCAATGTGTTTAGAAGGTTGTTTCCAACAAATTTCAACACAAAAATAACTTGATTTGGTTAAGAAATGATCAAGTTATGGTGAAGAGAAAATTTGAATGCAAATGGGGTTTTTGGGGGAGGGGGCTGCGGGTTTCATGAAGAAGAAGGGAGGAAAGTGATGCATGAATAGTGCCAAGCACATGTGGCTTAAGTCACTTAAGTGGGGTGGGTCCCACCGCCACCTCACGCGATTTAAAACTAATCCGAATTTTCCTCCGATTCCACTAAACGTCCGTAAATTCACAACCTATTTAGAAACTCAAATTTTTAACATTAACTATTCCCCTTTAATTAGGCTTGACCAGATGAATTAAGAGTCCTCCATTCGTTCGGAGAAAACACTGTTTTAAGCTATTACGCGCGCCATTGGCACGCTTCCCCAAACTGTCTTAATTTCATCGAATATTATAAGAAATCATATTTCCTAACTCATTAGACCATTTTTAACTCATATTTGAAACCTAGAGCTCAAAATTCAACTGGCACGTTTTACGGTGCAATCGTAACGCGGTATTTTTACCCGCGAAAAACACTATTCACTGATTTTTCTGAAACTTGCCTGTCCACTCAATTTTTCGTTCTGAACCCATTTCCAGGGTTATTTTTACCATCTGAGACCTTCTACTCAATTTTTATCTTCCTAGGGTTGCGTGTTGGCTAATTACCGTTTTGCCCTTTCTTTGTATTTTGGCCTAATCTTTTGGATTTTCACTAATCCATCACTTGATTGCTCACTTAATATTTTAATTACTTGATTTAAAATTGTGAGGTGTTATATTCACCCCAACTTTTTAGAATTTTGTCCGCAAAATTAAATCATACTCATCCGCTAACTCAGGACACAGTCGGAGAATCTCATCCTCCCGCTCCCAAGTAGCATCCTCAAGTGTGTTCCTTTACCACATTACTTTTATCACAAGTACGATCTCTTTTTTATGATACTTATTATCCTTTGATCCTTCACAATCACTTGTCTCTCATGGTTCTGTGACATTTTAATTCACAATACTTTACACTTTCTCTGGTCTCCCGTTACCCTTTCGCTGATCTGTAGGTAATAATATAACAATATTACGGATTTGTCGGTAAATTTACCTCATTCTCATCTTTATCCATATTTCTGACCCATGGTCGTTCTCAAAAGCATCTAATCGTTTTCATGCACATTCACTAGTTATTCCTGGAGTATTTCCAACTC